AAATGCCTTATCACTTCTCAAGCTCTTGTGAGGGGTCCTAGTGAACATCTTCTCAGTGACTGCCACATATGTTGTGAAAATATTTGGGATTTTAGTGTTGCTATTCAGACCTGCTGATGACTGGCTTGAGTGCCCACAGCCATGTGTGAATCCAGCATCTTCATAATGAAGTGCTCTGTGCTTTCCTTTTACATAAAATACCTTATTTACAGCTTTAACTACATGTACAACTCTTCACTTTCTAGAAACAAGGACAAAAAAGTTAATTCTCACCTGCCCCGAGTTTCTATACTTAGAAGCAAGGGCTCCTGCAACAGCACGGTCCACATTGGCACTGTCAAACACTATAAAAGGAGCATGTCCTCCAAGCTCCATGGAAACTCGCTTCACAGTGCCAGCTGCGTGTTTCAGCAATATCTGTAGGCAACAAAAAAGACAGAGAAATCTGTACCTCTGCCAGATGTGAACTGTGGAATCATGGATATGAGGCAGTGAAAAATTAACTCTGGCAAGGAAATAATCTGCATTTCTCTATAATGTTAGATTATTTCCTATAACAAAAACAAAAATAAATTTCCTTCACTGAAATCTTTAAATTCTGGCCAAGAACTAATGAAGAGAAGGATTTTGATCAACCTAAGGTCAGGTCAAGCTTTTACACAGTAATATTGTTACTTCTGTTTGCTTGTTCGATCCTTTCTCAATAATAAAATCTTGACTACTCTTAGAAAAGTTTTCCAAGATCTGACAGAATTTGGGATCAAGATTTTTCTTGATACTAGACCTTTTTGTAATTCTGCATACAGCCATCCCATAGAATTCTATCATTTTCTAGCCACACTCTGCAGTTTTAGTGATTTCATTAGATGGCAACAAGATTGCTTACTGACTACAGCTGACAGCAGAGATTCCTGAGCCTTACTTCTCTAACACTTTCTCTCATCTGCAGGAGCCATTCCTGAATAGTACCTTTGAAATTCGGTTTCAGTGTTCTTATTAGTATGTTGTCACCTTATCGATTTAGAACAAAAACATCTTATGTAAACCTGTCCACATTATAATTTAATAAAGGGCAGTTATCAAGACGTTGCAGACAGGCATCCTCCTGTGAAGTACTGATACTAAACAAATAGGCAGTATCTCAAGAAGTACACAATTATTTGGGCAGTCTGTGTACAGCAGCCAAAACAGAAGGCTCCGTATAAAGGCACACACTTTCCCCCTACCTTTCCAGTATAACCACAGTAATAATCTTCATGGATATTCTGTCCACTTATGTACCTTTCCCGTTGCTGTAGAGCCAGTAAAAGATATTTTGGATACCAGTGGATCAGTGCACAGCACTTCCCCTACAGCTGCTGTCTGTTGTCTGGAACAAGGAACAACGTTATACACTCCTGCTGGAATTCCAGCCTGGTTTGCAAGCTGCAGCAAAAGAAAAACAGAATTTCCATTATCAGTGCATTTTGCATTAGGAATATTCACAATGTTTGTTAATTGTTTTGAAAAAACTAGTCTGTAAGTCAAGAGAAGCCAAAAGGGCTCAGCACAACTAGTAATAGATGCCACAGTATCAAGAGAGCAGCTTGCTCTGGTTTAAGCTGTCTGTTCAAAGTAACCAAATGAAAGATACAAGAATGTTTTGTGTGGCTAAACAGCCCAATCCTCTTTGAGGATCTAGACCATATTAGAGGCAACTTCCAAAGATTCTCACTAAAATAAAACTGGATCAAGTCAGCCAGTTTGCCCTTTCTTCAAGTATGAAGGGGGCCAGAGTTACCTTCACAGCACATCCGACTCCCCATTTACAGCTTCAGTCAACTGCTAAGATAAAGCTTAAAATGAATGCTCACCTCCCCAAGAGCTAATGCTGATAAAGGTGTGTCCTCTGCAGGTTTCACTACCACTGTACAGCCAGCTGCCAGAGCTGCACCAACCTTCCGGGTAATCATAGCGCTGGGAAAATTCCACTAGGGTGAGAGAAAAAAGTACAGTCCAAGTTGGGAAAATTCTGCCACCTGTTTTTGCAGAAATAACTGGCATTTTCTGTGATTAGTTGTGCATGATGTACTTTGTCCTAAGTGAATATTAAAAAGAAGCACTGCCGATCAAGGAAGAAGGTAGAAATTAAAATTTTCAGGGGCGTTTTCCAGGGCTGGAGGAGCCATAAGGCCACGGCCCCATGCTGTGGGCTGAGCTGAAAACATCCAGGTGATTAGAAAAAGTTCAGCAATGCTTACTGGGGTTATAATGGCTGCCACTCCTACTGGCTGCTTCAGCACCAGCACTCTTCTGTCTTTTGCAGACGCTGGAATAACATCACCATAAATCCGGCGAGCCTCCTCCGCAAACCACTCCAGAAATGAGGCAGAATACACGATTTCACCCTGTGCTTCTTTCAGAGGCTTCCCCTTTGATTAAATCATATTGAAGACACATTGTAAGCGGCAAACTGAAGCACTAAAAACAAATTCAAGTAATTATGCAGTTTCTGTTTTTTTCAGAGTACTTTATGGTTCCCTACCTATCAGGTACACTCCAAGATCTCCAAAAACGATTGTATGATTGCAGTAGCAATAGTTGTGCAGCGACTGTATAGTCAATATTTTGTATGCTGAGCCTGGATTCATATCGGCTCAAGACAACGAGCAATAGCAAATGTATGTATTTATTTATAAACTCTGCAGTTAGTTGCTATTGCCTTTCTGAAGAAAGAACCAAAACATGGCAAAACAGTTACAAGTTCATGCCAGAGACATTTGTTTTGGGAGTATTACTCTGAACTGTCTCCAGGGCTGATCCCTTGGACTAAATGACCATTAGCAGCTATGACACTACAGAGGAGCAGCTTGAAGTATCTTCCAACAAGGTTTCATCTGAAAGGACACCCGTTTGTGAGCTCCCAGACTACTCTGTGGTACAAACTAAAGCAGACTATGAATCCAACCTGGCGACTTGCTTTAATAGCACTTCAGGTTTTTTCCCAGTCAATGACACTAATAAAACACAAACATTCCTGCCATGAGGACCGCAGTTTAGGTGGACAACATGGCTCACCATGAAGCACAAAGTGGGTTCTGGCTTTTGCGCGTTAAGTACCACTGCCATCAAACCAATGCCCTAGTAGAGCAATGGGAACGCACAATGCGCCTCAACTTTTTTAAGTTCTCAGAAAAGCTAGGGTGGCTAACTGGTGAGATACACACAGGATGTTTTGTTAGCGGTCAGTTTTACTTTATTTCGCTGCTCGCATCTCTGTGTCGGGTTTCCCAGTCCGAGTGCTGGCACAGGGCAGTGCCCGTGCCCACGGGGGCAGAGGCGGCCCCGTCCCCCTACTCACGTTTTCGGCCGTGATGATCCGCGCCAGCTCCTCCTTGTTCTCCATCATCAGCTCGTACCATCTGCGGAGCCGCAAGCTCCTCTCCTGGCAGGGAGAGACAAGGCTGCCGCGGCCGCCTCATGCAGGGACGGGGCAGCGGAGCCCCGGGAGCCCCGGTCGGTGCCGCCCGGAGCTCCCCGCCCGCGGGGCCCCCTCGCCGCCCCCTCCCGCGGCCGCTCACCTTGGCGGGCAGGCGGCCCCAGGCGGCGCCGGCTTCGTGCGCGGCCCGCACGGCCGCCCGCGCCTCGGCCGCGCCACAGTCCGACACCCGGCCCAGCTCCTCGCCGCTGGCCGGGTCCTGCACGGCGAAAGCGGCGGCCGTCTCCACCCAGCGGCCGCCCACCAGGCCGCCCCGGCGCACCAGGGCGGCGGGCAGCGCCCGGCTGGCGCCCCGCGCCGGCCCCGCGCAGAGCGGCGGCGGGAGCCGCAGGAGGAGGCGGCGGCGGGCGGCGGCGGCGCCCCGCGGAAGGACGGTCGCCATGGCCGCGCTCGGCGACAGGCGGCGGGGCTCCGGCAAGGCCCGCCCGCGCCGCCCCGGAGGAGGAGCCGCGCAGGGGCCGGGCACGAAGCAGCGTCTCGGCGGGGAACGGCGGCGGTCCCGGCTGGGGAGCTTTGTCTTCCCTGGCAGGGATTGGAGCGTACGGGGTTGGGGGGGGGAGGTGTTTGGCTTCTGCTTCCTGGAGTCCCGTTACTCCTGCACCATCGAAACGCCCCTCCCCGGAGGGAGAGGGGAGGGTTATAATTATAGGATTATGGAATGTCCTGAGTTGGAAGGGACCCACAGGGGTCATCAAAGTCCGATTCTTGGCTTTGAGGACACCCCACGAGTCACACCATGTGCCTGAGAGTGTTGTCCAAACCCTTCTTGAACTCAGTCAGGCTTGGTGCTGTGACCACTTCCCTGGGGAGCCTGTTCCACTGCCCGACCACCCTCTGGTGAAGAACCTCTTTCTAATATCCAGCCTAAACCTCCCCTGAGCCAGCTTCATGCCGTTCCCTCAGGTCACTAGAGAGATCAGTGCCTGTCCCCACGCTTCCCCTTGTGAGGAGGTTGTAGGCTGCTATGAGGTCTCCTCTCAGTCTCCTCTCCTCCAGGCTGACTTGAGCTTGATGGCTTGGCTGTGGGAGCACCAGCCCCTGGGGGCCTGTGGGCACACTGGCCAGTGACTCTCGTTTCTGACCGCCGGGTCCCATGACAGCTGTGGTCAGTCTCTGGCACAAGGGCCATGTGAAGCCCCTGCCTGGTGCCACCATCTCACTGGGAACCAATGTGGCTGTGCCTGCAGGCTGAGCGGTGTCAGGAGCTACTGTCTTTTTATTAATACTGCTTTGACAATTGGCTTTAATTTTTTTTTGTGAAATGTGATGTAGCTGTTGTAAGGCAAGTGCAGCATGAGCTGGGCAAACAGTGGTAGGATGCTCTTTGCTTTGCTATTGTATAGAGAAATCTCACTGCTGCTGTGCAGTGATGGCATTTACACTGCTCAAACCCCAGAATTCAAGAGGGGAGAACACCCGTAGATCATTTCTCTTTTTATAAATTACTTTATTTGAGGTAAAAAAAAAGCACTGGTATAAAATAGCCTTTCAAATATGGCAATTGTTTACTTGCTGTGTCAGCAGTATGTATGAAAGAAAAGACATGCTCCGTAACCTACATTGCAAAGGTCACAGCGCTACTGCTCCAGGCTTCTGAAAACCACAGTTTGAGCCAGCATCATGGCTGGTCTGAAGATTTGGTCTGTTTTCCTGATTATACTGTACCATTTCTGTCAAAGATGTATCCCATGTGGAATTTCAACACATATTGAAATAGGTAAGACATGTTCAGAATGAATTTTCTTGTGTTTTGAGTTGCTTGTAAAGATAAGTAAATTCAAGTTCAGCTGGAAAGCAAAGAGAGAAAATAATATTAGAGCAGCGAGCAGTCTACATCATTAAAAAAATGTGAATAACACACAGGATAGATGAGTAGTTTGATTTTGGAGTTTGAAACTTTACTGTTTTTATAAGCAAAATGCTTGAATTGATGTGAGTATTTTTCCATCTTCTAAAGCACCGGCATTATGTAACTGGAATGTTTTTGTCTGTGAGTCTTACGCAGACAGAGTTTGGTTTGGAGAAAGAAGAGGAATACTTTAGACAATTCATGGGATTGTTATATTTAAACTAAAGGATAACACAGGTCATTCGTGGTAGGTCTGTTTTCAAATCACTATGTATTAAAATAAAATACATAAAATAGTAAAATGCAGTAATGTGTTTGTATCATAATGAAAATTTTGTTCTCTGTCTCTTCCTGGTAGGTTGCTCTCTGTAGCCTGAACAGCCTAGATTTGTAGAGAATGAAGGAGAGAACTGAGTGAACATGAAAATGGAGAATATTTCTGGTTTTAATTTCTTGTTTGCCTATGTTATTTTTAAAATCTGGCTTCTGCTGTAGTTATTGCAAGTACAGACACAAGTAGTCTGAGGTTATTTTGAAACATTTACTCATAATTGACAGTTTTAATTGTTTGTTCTTCTGGTTTAGTTTCTAAATCTATTGCTCAAACAGATGGTAAAACTTAGGATGTTGCCTCTATTCAGGTGATCTTCTCAGACTTTAATACTGAATGCATGCAACTTTGAACAAGTTAAAGGCTGGGATTATTCATGGCATTCGAGACTGAGAGTATGTTCCCTTACTGAGTGTTGTTCCCTCAGTCAGCATCCTGGAACCATTTGCTTTGCCTGAGGGTGTGTCAAGAAACCCGTAGTAATCAATAGGAGAAGTCATATGCCTGAGGTTAGGCAAGTGCATACATCTTTGCCAGCTCGAGGCTCTAATTACCGAGTATGAGCTTCTGAAGACTTGAAATAACAGATTTGCTAGAATGGAGTGTATTTGCAAAAAGATCTACTAAGAGAAATGAGCTTACAGATCTGTCCCCAAGCACTCATTTTTTTCTAAACAAGGAAACATATAGCAGAAAACCTGTGTTTATATAATTTAAAGATCTTGGTTGTCTGAGGAGTATTGTGTACACTGAACTATTGGGGTCTATTGTTTAATTTAAACCATTTGTTTACAACAAATTTTGTCCATTCGTTTGAAAATGACATTAAACTATGATCAGCTCTTCTGCTGCTAAAGTGAGTGCTTTTATTGTGCACATAAAAGTCTATGATGATTAGATGAAAGTATTCCCGAAACGCAAACACTGAGTATTCCAGGAAAAAAAAGGCCCAACAAAACAAAAAACAAACAAACAAAACACCAAACAACAAATTGCAGAAAGAAACTCCTCTGACTCAAAACCAGAACCAAAGTCTACCCTGGACAGTTTTCTGAAAGTGCTTTTAAAATGGTGAAAAGCTCTGCCTGTTCAGAATGTTAATTGTGTTCAGTGTGCTCCGCAGAGCTGTGCTGTGTCCTACTTGCCACAGCCTTTTTGCTGAAGGCAAGTCTGAGTGGGGAGGCTTTTTCACCCAGGGACTTCTGTCAGATTTGTGGGGCTCTGTGGAACTGTGGGGACACGTCACAAAATTCCATGTAAAAGTGGAGTTGTGGGACCTGGGCCCACTTGAGTAATGAGAAAAGTGAAAGGAAGATGGAAAGCACAAAAAGCAAACTGGCAAACTGAGACTCTCCCACACTGGAAACAGAGATGTGTGTTGAAATGTCTGAGCCATAACATTATAGATGATTTAGTAGTAGTAGTAGTAGTAGTAGTAGTATGTTGTTGTTGTTGTTGTTGTTGTTGTTGTTCCTATTTTGGTGCAAGACTGGTCCTTAAGGTATCTTAACATATTTGAATAAAGGGTTGTTTAGATCAGTGGGTAAAATTCAAAGTGAAAGATCACTCAAACCCACACAGTTTGTCTGTATCTTATTCCAGAACACTAGTGGTGGGATATTTTTGTTGTGTTTTGTTTTGGTTTTTGTGATGTGATTTATTTGATAAGGAACAAATTAAATTTAGTCTTACTTTATAAATATCTTTAATGGCAATGTTGGGTATTTTTAGAATAGTATTAATGGATCATTCCTAACACTAATTAATAGGAGACTTTATTAAAGGAAAGTAGTGTCAATTTTTTTCATTCTCTCGTTACACTTAATAAAGATTTTGACAGTAAGAATGCCTGCCTATTCAGTGAATAAACAGTGTTATTTACCTTGCTGACTTTGGATTTTTGTTGCTTTTCATACATGTTAAAAATTAATCAAACTGTTAAACATCCACCTTGATTCCCAAGGTACCTTTTTCAAAGTTAAGGGCAACAGTGAAACATAAGTACAGCTACAGCTTTATGGTCCATGCTCTGTATGTGCTGGCTATGATCCTTTCAGTTCACTGCTGTAGCTCAGTTCTGGACATGGGGAATTCACTTCCCTGTGATTTTAACTTAGTTGGTCAGCTTGGGACCTGGGGATTAGACAGACTGATGAGACCTCAGTGCCTAAGTCTGCCACAGAAGCAGCACTTCCTCATTAGCTCCCTAGGTGAGAAAACACACCCTCTCACAGGTACATAATTCTGTGAGAAATCATGTTTCATGCATGTGCCACTTGGTTTAGGTATGAAAATGTGGTGTTTTCTGGTTTTGCTAATGCTTCTAACAAAACACGGACGTGGACACAATACCTATAAATCAATACTTCCATATGTTGTTTTTCAGCACACAGAGCTCTGGAATTTTTCATTAAGAATGAAGGGAGTGTTAATTATAGACAGGTACGAAGCACATTATTGCTTAACTATGTACACCTTTCTTCTCGATGTTTTTCTGTCCATCTTCTTGCCTTTTGTTATTATTCTCAGTAATATGTGTGTCAACATTGTACCAAGACTGTATTTTTTTCTGTTGAAAATCATTTGACTCCGTCTGAATACTTTTACAAATACGTAACAATTATACCAATGTGTATATATATACTTTGTGTAGTTTCTTACGTGTTTTTCCATCTTTTTTAGTCATACTCTACGTGAGTATTTGTGTTAAAAGAATTATTGTATTAGGAGTTGTATTAGAAGACTTTTGGAAAGGAGATTTAATAAACATAAGGACAGCAAAATGACAGCAATGTTTTTTGCACCACATGGTGTATTTTACCAGGATAATAGTTGTATCTTGCTGGATATTTAAATTTTATCTTTGATATAGGCAGTAAAATGTGTTTTCATGCTGTGCAATAGCATTCTGATTCCTTTTTCCCACATTCTTTCCCCAGTTATTACTAAACCACCAAGATGCATTTCAAGCTGGGAGCATTTATCCTGATGCCTTTTATTCACCAGTCTGCAAAGCGGGTAAGAAAAGCTATATGAGTCTAAGGTATTAACAACTGTATTTTTATGTGGAAATCCTAGAGAATTTAGTAGGGCTAAAAATAATTATGTTGTAAGAAATGAAGTATGGCCTTCCTGCAAAAAATATCTGCCATTTTTGTTAGTATTTTAAGCCTTTTTGTAAAACTTAGCAGGAAAACAACACATTTGAAAATGGTTTTAGAGTGTAACTTTGGGATAAATGTAATTTAATCGGTATTTAATGGGTCAGATTACTAAATACTGTCTTGGGGAAAAACTGAGAGGACAAAATGATCTTTTTTTCTAAGTCCTATGGAAAGCCTAGTGCTAATTTCTATATTATGGCTGTATTGAATTTTGCCCATCTTCCAAGAAAAGATATTATGTAAGGTATCCTTATGCTCATTTCCCAGGCCTTCCTGATGCAGACCAGATTAATTAACAAATACTGTCTTGGGGAAAAACTGAGAGGACAAAATGATCTTTTTTTTTAAGTCTTATGGAAAGCCTAGTGCTAATTTCTGTATTAAGAAGTATTAGTTTCCATCAGATCAGTCACAAAGAGGATAGGAGCATATAAAACCCCAACAATAACAAGATAGTGTAAGACTAGCTTTCCTCTCCCCTTTTTCTACTCCTACACTAACTGTATCTTGGCAAGTTTGCCTTTCTGTTGAAAAAGATGATGATGATGATGACATAGCCCTTCTCTGCCCTGTGGAAACCGATACCTGTCCCAAAACATGATATTTTGAGTTGGCTGCCATGCCCATCAGCTTTTCTGCCATACAAGTGAATGTATCAATTTAGTCAACAACTTCTCTGTCAACTCTCTTTATCTTCTCTGCTTGTGAGGCAGATTTTCATCATACTGTACCTACTCATAGGCACAGAAAAAGAGAGCAGGCACAAAATTTTCAGATGCTTCAAACCAAAATCATTGAAGGTAAATGTAGTATTTGTTTTGATAGTATAAATCATATAAAATAAGTCTCTTCTCATTAAATGGATTCCAGTTGTATCATCTGTGTGATATGAAATTGAACAAAAGTCTGTGGCTTTTTTCATTTTTCCTCAAAGAACAAATGAAATACTGATATAGTTTTATTGCAATAGGGATATTCCATGATGTGTCTGAAGACACTCACTGGTCACCATTTCTAAAAGCAAGTATTCAGTACATCAGAAGGAATTATCCTCAGCCTTGGGAAGAGGTAAGAAAATTTCATCAACTTTTGACTTTGCTTTCAACTGCTTTCTTCACCTGCACTTGTTGCAATTTCATCCTTTGTGAAGTGTAGAAAAAAACCCCACATTTTTACATTAAAGTCTCTCCTGACATAGGAACATTTGAAATCCTGTTTGCATCTTTACCAGACCAAAAGTTACAGTTTCCATGTAAAGTCTACCAGTTATCTCCACTGTGGTCTGGTGCTTATGATACATTTCATAGATCCAAACTTTCAAATGCGATTGGTGATCTTGCATTCCTGTCAGATCTGGTTGAGGGTTTGCCATTTGAAAACGAGACATCTTTTAGAATTCTCACTTGTGTATTCTTTGACTTAGTCCTGATTTGCTCTTGTTTATGGTCTTTGAACTATGTAGGAGGAGAGGAAAAACAATTTGTCAAAAGTGAGAGTGCACAGGAATGTCCTTCTCTCCTTTGTGTGCCTGCACAACACCCATGGTGGCAGAGGGGGCTCACTTCTTGAATGTGGAAATGTTTATCCTCAGTCGAGAAAAACACTTCAGTATACATTTAACTTGAAGAACACAAATTATCCTGACATCAGCCACATAATTCTATGGCCTTGGACCTATGAAGAGCTTAAAGCTAGTCACAAAAAGTGACTCCAGCATCAAGGAATGAGTGATCAACACTTTGTTATGCTATGTTCTTGGACTGTAAGAGTTTCTCACCTATATCCTCGTATAATGCACTTACATAAAATGCTCACTTCTTCTTAAAGACAGGAGTAAAATTACTGATACTGCTTCAAACGGATTGTTGTTGTGTAGGCTACAGAGAAACTGGTGGCTTTCCTGTTTGGAATTGCCTCACATATGGTGGCAGATGTTAGCTGGCATAGCCTGGGCATCGACCAAGGATTTCTAAAGGCCATGGGAGAAGTAAGCCTGTATTATTTTATTTATTAATACAACTGGATTTATTGGAATGGATAGCCTAGCTTTTGACTGTGGGGGGCAGGGTGGTGGAGAAGAGAAAAGCTGGAGACCTGTTTCAGGAAGATTTTTGGAAAGACACAATGTCACGAATTTCATAGGAATGAGGTTGATCAGGTTTGGAACCTGTAAACATTAGGGCTGCTTGGATAGTTTGTTTCTGCTCATCTTGAAAGAAACAGGCAGTTGTCTTGTTTTTCTCTTCCTCCAGATTGATTTTCATGGTTCATACTCAGAAGCTCACAGTGCTGGCGATTTTGGTAATGTTTCTGTTTGCCAATCATAGATCCTTCTGTTGGAATAACTAGTCCTCTTCAAAACCACAGTGGGTGATTCTGGCTCTTAGCCTATGCAAGGCAGGAGCCAAGAATGGGTCATATGGACACTGTATTCCTGCCCTACCCCATAGCTTGCAAAGTCCTGCTATAGCTGTCCTCATGCTCCATGTTTCAGGAGATATAATAATGCATATGAACACTTGGATTAAAGCCAAAATGCAGATGAAAAGATGCTAGTGTTTAAATGGAGTCACTACTGTGATTTTAAATGATAAATAATTTTTATTCTCTGGAGGTATAAAATGTGCAGCATACTTTCAGGTGAACCATTTATGTATTCTAAATGTATAACTGGAAGATCTGCCGTGTAAATACAGACAGCAAAGCCATACGTGGCTTCATGGGCGATGTTATCCATGACAGATACTTAACAGGTTTAGTTTGTTGGACTATGTAGTTTTTTTTCATTCTTCCATCCTCAGGAGGAGATGTAGTGAGTAATTATGAGCTGGACTTCAGTTATCTGGCATCAAATTGGTAAGATAATGAGGTTACCTTCTTTAATATTTGTTTCTACTTATTCTGTATAATCACTGTGTTTTAACAAAATGCTGTCCTTCTTTATTTTTCTTTCAAAAGGAACCCTTGCAGCTATTTAAATTTTTCTGGGTTTGGTGTTCCTTATATGCATATGTACTGTTCCCTGACATGAAAAACTGGAAGGATACAAAAAAAGCGTTTATGTATAGGAACAAGATTAAATTATTTATCTCTGAAAGGAATTATAAGCTTTTATATATAAAATAATCAGTGAAAACATTTTGCTGGAATGTCCTAGAAATTAGTTAAATAACGTAGTTAAGTGTAAATATGAGATTTATTTAAAGTTTTGGAAGTTGAGGATGTTGAATCTAGACAGGTTTCAAAAGCATAAAAATGAGCAAAGATTTAGATATACACATTTTTTTTCCTCACAGTTTTTAACTGCAATAAAAAACTCATAAAAAACTTTTTTTCTGCTAATAAAGTAGGTAATTTGAGTCGATTTTGTTAAGTAGAATGTAGTTTACGTAGGTGTAGAAGACATGGTTCACTAATAAATCTCTGACACAGCTGTGTGAAATGTCTATTTGTTTAGGAGTAGATTTGGCACAGCAGAGAGTTGGAGGACATCCGCCAAGAGGATGTGATCAAACCAGGAAACCAGTGTGGGCAGTGTGGAAACACTATTAGCAGTAGCCATAGGGGAAAGGTTCTACAGACTTTGAATCTAAACAAACAGAGAGTGTTGTGCACGGAGTAACTGCATGTGCAATCCTGGTCTTTCTGCTATTTTTAAATCTTCATACCTTATGTAGCCTTTTGAAATTTAGAATATTTTATAGCAGGCTATTTTTATTACAGAAACTGTAATCTTTTGTCAGGTGATGTGGAAAATTTGTTATAATAATACCTTCTTCTCTTTTTTAGGTATGTGCCTGTCAAAGACCTAGCAGCTATCTATAAGGAATTTTATGGAAAGGAGGTCATAACTGAAAGCACAATTACTGACTGTACTTTCCTGCTGTATCTTGAACTGTAAGTTGAATAGCTTTTTCTGGATTTTCGTAAGTGAAACATATTTAGGAAAATTATGATAGCTGTTTTGAAATGCCTTATGCATGCAGGTCAGAAATATAGACCCCCCTGCTAGATCCCAAAATCATAAAACACCTGAGTTTTTTTTGATGACTAGAATTCAAATTTGAACTGCTTAATGACTGGTAAATTAATTATTATACCACAGATGCTGAATCTTGGCTATTTAATGCATTTATACCTTTAACACATTTATGCCTATTTATTTGAGAACAACTGTGTCTTCAAGTGCTACTGTATTGCGGCAAGTTAGCAATATAATTTTAACATATGAAGGAGTAGTGCACATTGCTTAATAGGTGGGTTATCTACATTTTATGTAGATCCTTTCAAGTCTAGGAGTAATTCAAAAGAGACTTTGGATATCTGGCAGTGTATGCTTTTGAATACCCTAAACAGCCCAGCTGTATTCTCTGTTTCAGTTAATTACCAATAGTTACACAGCATTTACAAAAACTGTGAATCCCTCCAAATTAAAGGCAAAAACAGAGCTTGTATCATTACTTTTTACATTACAACTTTAAAAAATATTTTAACAACCAACAGGGAAATATAATGACTTGCATAGTTTTTACTATACAGGAACCTTGAAAAGAACTGTTTACATATTTAAATACTAAGTGAAGCAAGTTTTATTTCTGAAGATTTTTTTTGTTTTTAGGCATGGAGAAAGGCTTGCTGTTGCCAAGGTTGGTCTTCTGTTTCCTTTATAAAAATGAACAGATAGCATGGAGACAATGTAGTCCATCTTACTAAATATGTGGCCTGTCTCTCAGCTTTTTCCAAGATATGCTAATAAATCTCCATTTCTGGTGGAGAAGTTCCATGAATATTTCCTTGGAGGAGTGGATGACATGGCGTTCTGGACAAACAATATTTTTGAGATGACCAGCCACATGCTAGAGAATGGAACCAGGTATAGTGTGTGTCCTGGAATATGAAACGCAGTAGTCAAGTTTTAACACTCATTTAATTGCCCTTCTAAAGGCGGGTTCTTTCCTAGAAGAGGTTCTAAGCTTTAAATCCTCTCTTGGACAAAGGGATTTCTATGTATGTCTTTTACCTGGGTGTACAGGATTACCTTGAGTTCGCATTTCTTATGCGTTCACACTCCTTTGCCCAGGCAAGCCTCTGGCATCCCCAGCTGATACTCAGCAGGGAAAATTTGGAGCACTCTTTAAGACATACTCAAGGGCCTGCTTAAAAGTTGCATAGCCGTGCCCTAAAGTTCTGCCTGGCCTGGCTGAGACTGCACCTTCTGGCTGCTGTCATCAGTCAGCAAAGATGTCCCTTCTGAGGGGATGTCAGATATTACCTTCAGATACTTTAAGCAAATGGGATTACAAAGAGTAGTAGTATATATTCTAGTGTTGAAGCTCAGGCCTCTACACACAAATTCATATTTTTATAAAACTAGCCTTGTACGGCTCTCTTACAAATGTAGCTTTACTGTAAATAACTTTATAAGACCAACAGTGGCAATTAATCCATCCATTTATATGGAAAATATCACTGTGGCTATTTTGGGAAATTATGTTTGAAATACATTCTGTTCTGTTCTTTGCTCCAGAATGACACTTTCATTGAAAGTGCTTTAGATTCATAGAAATAACAGGGCATGTTACATTCAGTTTCCTTCAAGAAACATGAGGTTCATATAGAACCTAATCAAGGTCATTAAAATAAATATCAGCGGGGTTTCCAGGGATTATGATGATACTCTGATTTTGAGTTTCTTGAGAAAACTGATGACTTTTAGCAGAGGAATCAGTAAGGATAAAACTTGTATTTTTAGTTTCACTTCCATTGTAGGAAAATCTTTAAAGTGGATTCTGCATATTTTTCTTTAGTGGCTGTTACCTCCCTGAGAACCCTCTGTTTATAAATTGCACAAAGGAGCACAGGGACAACCACATGTAAGTACAGCTCTGGAGGTTCAAAGGTTTAGTGGTGAAAGGAGAGTCTTCTGCTAATGTGGACAGTGAGCTATTGAAAATTAGAGATGTTTTTATTTATCTTTTTGTGTGTGAACTTGAGATTCTTGTAGCATGAATAAGTAAACTTTGTGTAGGGGAACTGTGTAGAACCTAAGAGAGCCTTTTACCTCAAGTCATTAATTCAGTTATATTAATTCTTATTACTGCCCTCTTTATTCTAGCAGAAACAAACAATCAAAACATGAACGTCACCAGAATACAACTTCTTTGCTTACAGAATCACTTGAGAAGAATATAAACTATACAGAAAGAGGAGTTCACTTCAACATGCAGTCTTGGGCAACAGTAAGTGAGAAGTGACAGACGTGTCAGGTAAAATTCAGCTCTATTTAAAATTGTTTTCATTTCTGTCTGAAATGCTGCACGATGGAGCAGGGTCTCAGGACATTAACAATAGCCTCTGACTTCACTTCAAGGAGATTACAGTATCATTGTTAATCTACATATGTACATCATACTCAACTTTTACACTATGTTTGTTGTATAGTGAAGTTAGAACACATCTTGCAGTGACAAAAAGGACAAAATATATCTCTAGTATTTACATTTTACAGAATTAGTTGATCACTTTTTTTGGGGGTTAAGAACTCCCAGCAAAGCATCGCAGTGAACAATTAACACTGCTCCATTTAGTGCATACAGATTTTTGTCTCTTTCTAAAATGGTGCTTATGACCTGATTTGGAGTCTTCTTAGATCCATGTGGTGATTTCCACTGTCGGTGACTTGGTTTTTGAGGTGTCGCAAAATGATCTAGAGTTTCAGCCTGTGTTCTAACCATTCTTGTGTCTCCTTATTTTTATTTCAGAATTCCCTCCGCTTGATGAACCGTGCTTTTACAACCAATATCTGGAGAGCATTAGCAGCTACACATCAGAAATCTTCTAAGCACATCTCCAAGCCAGTAGCTTCATATTTTCTGACCTCACCCTATGCTAGACTTGGATGGTTTGTAATTTTTTTCCTCCCGCCTCCCACTTAATTTCTGAAAATTTTGAGAATCCACCAAAATATTATTGTTAATTCTTCGGATACTCTTAATTGTGAAAGTCCAAATCAATTAGTTGTACAAATCTGGCAGAATGGCTTATGTTGTCTGTTCAGAACAGCAAGTTAGCCCATAAGACTTTTCTTTCAGATGTTGATCAAGCTCAGAATGGAAGGAGCCAAAATTAGAACCAACATTGGCTCTAGTTATGAACAGTATGAGAACTATGTTACGCTTTTTTTAGTCGTTGGTTGATGTTTGTGCAAAATTAATTGGCTGTCGTGAGTTGATTACTGATGATGCGAGTGTTCTTGGAAATGCTCAAGACTAGTAGGGAGTTCAAAGATTGATTCAGGACAGAGAGAAGCATATTCTCTCTTCTTTCCAGAGAGGTTCTAGCTTGACCTGCAACAGGGGAGAGTACTAAAATAAATTTGCATTGGTGCTCATCTTGCTTCACTTATTATGACTCAAAATTTGGATTTAATGTTTGCGTTTACTTCACACCAGCTAAATTAACAGTAGTTAGTTTTTTTCTCTCCACATTCCCTCACTAAACTCCAACATGTTACTGAAACCTCTAATCCCTTTGCTTATCTCCTTTTAAATCCATCAATTAAATCAGAGGCTCAGTTTAAAAGATACTTAATTTCATCTTTTGTATTCTGTGTCATATGCAAGCAACCCTTTTTCATGCTCCTTGCTATGAAGGCTCTCAGGTGCCTTGTGTCAGTAAAAAGCAGTTCCTACAGATCTCAGATGTGCATTAATGGAAGATGAATCTTGAAGGATCTAGTTTTATTTAATCCAAGAAAACACAAATCAAATATATAATATGAAAAATGCTGCATAGATTTTTACAAAACTATATCGGCAAACACAGGTCTTGGTTTGCCTGAATTAAAATTATTTATTTTCCACTAATGTTGTGGTAGTCTGGAAGCTAATGCTGATTTTGTTTACTCCCTTGCTGTACAGGGCAATGATCTCAGCTGACCTAAACCAGGATGGATATGAAGATTTGGTGGTTGGAGCACCAGGGTACAGCACCATGGGCCATGTTCAGATAGGACGGGTGTATGTAGTCTACTGTAACCAGTCAGGTTTGCCACGAGAGGACATGGATTTGGATGAGAAAGCCGACCAAGTACTACAAGGTCATCAGGTGAGGGGTCAAGTCAGATATTTGTCACTTAAATTTTTTGGACTGAAAATGTGGTAAATTTTGACTGAGAAACGGTATCGTTAATGTGTATGAATATTATTCCTGAAATTCTCCTCCTGATTAAAGGATGTCATATGCTTTTCAAGAAAAATAACCATTACTAAAGTCACAGGAACAATTGAAGCAATAGTGATTTGTAGGTTCACTTTCATTACTGTGCCAGATAAGCAGGTATTAAAACATAATTTGCCCTTGAATATAAGTGAGGTAATATCTCTGTACGTCCCAATATCTCTCGTTCAGGTCCCTGCATTTAAAAAATATTGTGATTTTCCCTTCTTTTTAATATAATAATATTAATTCAATATGTTTCAATTCCTTTAAAGCTACTTTTTTAATTAATTGGTTAATTCTCACAAAATAATTGTTTGTCTTTAGTAAGAGTGCAATGTGTTTAAAAAAAATAAAAGAGGAAACTGGGATTTGACATCCTGGTGACTGGCTTGTAACTAAACAGGATTAAATGACCTTTTTGAGTAATAAATATGATCCTCTGTAGAAAATACCTTTACTCACAAAGAATAGAATAGAGAGAAATGAGATACGTTTCCTTTTAATCTGTTTCTGTGGTTATAAACTGTGGATTAACAGCTGCTGTCTTCTTATGTAATGTTTTAGTGGTTTACAGCTATTGCATCAACAGGAAAGATCATAAGCTTAATATCCACGGTGCACTGGGCTCAGAAGAGGAAATAGCAAAGTGGCACCACGTTGTGTTAAGTTATCTTGTATTTTAACACTTCTACATCCACAAATAGAACAGTTGATTCTGAGTTAGTGTATTGGTATGATGGTTATTACTTGGGAGAACAAAAATTCTTTGGATAGATTTTTGTCATCTTGTTTCCAGTTCTTCCTTGTGCAAATGTGCATTAGGTTTTTATGGTTTTGTCTTGAAAACATTTGTTATTTTCCTGAGATCAATCCCTTTTCTTTTAGCCTTCAGGAAGATTTGGTTCTGCCTTGGCAGTCCTGGACTTTAATGAGGATGGAGTGCCAGATCTGGCAATTGGAGCACCTTCTGTGGGATCCCAGTTTCTTACTTACAAAGTAAGTTTGTTGTTTGGTTTTATTTGAACAGTGAAATGAGAGTGAGAATTTCTGTTGTTGCTCAAGGTGACATTGTAATTTAAACACAAAAGTTTATAATCTTTGTGCATACTTTGACTAGAGCAATGAGAGCTATCCATATTTCCCTTTCAGTGGCCTTTTTTGCACATTAAAAATCCAAATCAGATTGTGACTTTGCAGCACTGATGTGCTGGAAATTTAAGGGGCCATTCATGAAATACAAGTGTACTCTTTTTGATTAGGAACTGACAGTCTGGAATGGACCTCATGGATCAGTGAGCTTTGTCATATGCTGTCACAGGCTGACAGATGATAGCTAAAATGTGATATGAACACAGACACACTTGCTAAAATAATCAATTTACAGAGGCTTAATGACTTACAGTTTACCATTTAAGCCCATGTAATGGTCCCTGAGTATTTTCAGCTCAAGCAAACTGAAAGGTAAAATGTTTTGATTTAAACCACATCCATTAAGCTTAAAACTCTTCAGAATTTCAGCTACTAACTTATCTGTCTAAAAAAGAAATTAGATAATTTAAATTTTATGTTGACCCACTACCTTGAAAAATTGTGTGCATCTGTTGTGCCTGGCACTGTTTGCCATTGCATTAAATAATAGTTATCAAAATTTGAGCCACCTGAGTGGATGTGTAACAAATACAAATATGCACTACACTGTCCTTGCATCTTACCCACAGTATGATGAAAATGTACTTCTCTAGTTTGTTGCTTGGTTACAACCTTACCCATTACAACATGAATATTCGTAGGTTTGGGGTAGAAAAGACAGAATTGTGAGAAGGCTGTGATAAGAAAAATGCAGTTGTATTAATAGTCCCTGCAGAACTGTTCCACTTCTTGTGATTTGCCTTGGATTTTGTACCTGGTACTGACATGCAGATGCTCTCATGCTCTATTTTATTTTCCTGCTGTTTAGGGTGCTGTGTATGTCTACTTCGGCTCTGAGGGAAGAGGCTTGGCATCTCAGCCAAATGTTACCATAACTTGTCAGGTATACTGATAGCGTATAATATCCTGTATATGTTATGCTGTTAGCCAGGCCAACACAAGTCTACACAAGTGGGAGCTGAAATAAAGGGGAAAGGGGCTTCTGGGCTTGAAAAAAGAACATTAAAATCAAATTGCAAGGGAATTTAGACTGATGGGGATGGAGCAAGCAGGTGCTTGCCTAGGTTAGCTGTATGTGGAAAGACATTTGTACCTCAGTGTGGGGAAGGCAGCAGGGTGAACAGAAAGATGCATAGCCAAAAAAAAAAAAAAGGCAAAAAGGCAAAACTCCCCAACTAACCAATCCAAAAACCCTCTAAGAAAACAAAACTGAAGCCAAGGAGTGGGAGGGTAATTTAGTTAGCTCTTTAGATGTGAGTTGCTCTATTTTGTTACAAAATTGGTGGTTTCAGTTCTGTTTCAGGCTTTAACTGTTTATTGCAGGATTCCTACTGTAATCTTGGTTGGTCCCTCCTGGCAGCTGATGTTGATGGGGATGGAAATGCTGATCTGGTTGTGGGCTCTCCATATGCACCTGGTGGTGGGCAGCAGAGAGGATTTGTGGTTGCATTTTACTCTTATTTCAACAGGAGTGACCAAGGTAATATTTATTGAGTAAATTAGCCCTCCCATATTTTATGTGACTGTTCATTTGTTCCTAATTAATCATGGGATAATTCAGGTTCAAAGGGATCTCAGGGAGTGTCTAGTCCAGCCTCCTGCTCAATAAGAGAGATCTGTGAAGCCAGACCAAATTGCTCAGGGCTTTGTCCATTTGGGTCTTAAAAATCTCTAATGACAGAGATTGCACAGCCACTCTGGGCAGCTGTTCCACTTCTTGGCAGTCCTCATAGGGAAAAAAATGTCTTGTTACAGCCAGTATGAACCTTTTTTGTTTCAGTTTATGCTCATTGTCTATTGTCCTCCCACCATGCACAGTGAGCTCATAGGCACAGAAGGCATGGAATACCCCTACTAAATTTGCTCCAGTTAATCGACATCTTTCCTGTTACTGAACCATGTATTATAGGCGTGGTCTAGGGAAGAGTAAAGTGGGAACAATCATCTCTTTGCCATGCTCCTGGTTATATAGCCTGGTACACTGTGAACTGTTTGCAGTCAGAGCCTCACGTGCCCACCATTATCTCTAGGGCCTTTTCCACACAGCTTCTCACAGCCTATTATCACTGCAAGGGCATCTCCTTTCCTAGGGTCAGGCTTTGCATTTGTCCTCACTGGATTTTGTGAGGTTCCTGCCAGTCTGTTCCTCTAGCCTGCCTGGGTCCCTCTGAATGGTGGCTCCCCACAATCTCCTTTCATCTGCCAACTGCACGAAAGGCCATGTTGTTGCCTTCTCCAAATCAATTATTATAAAGTGTTTAACAGGGTGAGTCCAAAGATAGATCCCTGAGGGCATTCCACTTGTCGCAGGCATTCACAGTACAACCCACTGTCTGCTGACCTGTGATGGTGATTGTCTCAACCAGTACTTTCCCATCTGGTTCTCCACCCATCCAGATGCAATGTCCCAGCTTGGATAAAAGAACATTGTAGGACACTGTGTTGAAAGCCTTGCTAAACGAATGGATTCAGCTGTGTGTTGGGCACGCTCACTGCTCTTCCTTGGAAAACTGTAAATGTACCTTAGAAGATGAATCTTTATCATTCTGTACACTCCTTCATATGGCTGAAGAGGAACACTACAAGTGAACACAGTTAATGAGTACAGGTGATAAGGAGTGTTGTCAGTGAGGGAGAAAATGGCACACTTGGAGCTAAATAAAGTTAGTA